GGGGGGCAGGGCCGTGATGCCGAGGGGTGCCGTGTGGGGAAGTGCTGTGTGGCCAACGGGTGCCGGGGGGGGCAGGGCCGTGATGCCGAGGGGTGCCGTGTGGGGAAGTGCTGTGTGGCCAACGGGTGCCGGGGGGGGCAGGGCTGTGTGGCCGAGGGGTGCCGTGTGGGGCAGTGCTGTGTGGCCAACGGGTGCCGTGTGGGGCAGGACTGTGTAGCTGAGGGGTGCGGTGTGGGGCAGGGCTGTGTGGCCGAGGGGTGCCGTGTGGGGCAGTGCTGTGTGGCCAACGGGTGCCGTGTGGGGCAGGGCTGTGTGGCCAACGGGTGCCGTGTGGGGCAGGGCTGTGTGGCACGGGCAGGCTGTGGGAGGCTGTTGTGCGTTTCGCTGTGCCCAGCGGGCACTGTCTGGCTGTGCCGGGCGCTGTCTGGCTGTGCCGGGTGTCCGGGGCCTGGCGCTGGCTGTTCTGTGTGTGTGGCGAGGAGCTGGGGTGTGCTCTAGGGGTTGTTGGAGGTAGGGGGTAGGGGCCCCCCTGTAGGCTCTGGTCACCCTTCCAAAGGGCTCTGTGCCCACCCTGGGGCCCGGTGGGGGATGCTCCCTGCCCTGCACCCTGGCCGGATCTGTGTGTACGATGGGCATCTGGTGGCATTGCCAATCATGCTAGAGTGGGTGCTCCATCCTGCCCACCAGGCCTGGCCCAGCCCAGCTTGGGGTGTCTCTGTCTAACGCACGTCCTGCGAGCATCTCTGCCAGTGGCAGGGGAAGCCCCGAGGCATGCTGGGTACGCTCTGTATGCCAGGGCTGGGTGGCATTCACACAGACGAGGCACCTTAGAGCGGGGTGGACGCGCAGGGTCAGACGGCGCCAGAGGGTGCCAGGGAGCTGGGACAAAACAGGGCAGGAGCGGGGCAGCTGGAGAGCCAAGGGGCTTGCACTGTCCATGAAGCACCTCGGCCGACTCGGAGCACCCTGCAGTGGGCGTCTCCAGAGGGCCCCGCCACGGAGACGCTGCGCTGGGCTGGGGCCTCGTCCTGTTGCCGCACCTGATATGGCGTCGCCCCTGGCTCTGGTCGGTGGAGACGAGGACCGACCACAGCCAGGCCCACGGTGCTACCTTGGCTCCTGGCGGGGGCTGCAGACACAGTCACGGCGCCAGAGCAGGGCGCGGGGCACCCGGATGCCCCACAGCAGCCTCCCCACCGGCTCAGCCTCCCGCAGCCGTGGCCAGCTGGCGCCGAGCAGATAGCGGAGCATGGCATGGCCAACCTGGGGGCCGTGACTCACCCCGCTCGGCACACGCCCGGGGATCCCGCCGTGCACCCCACATGGTGCCTCGCTGGGGCTCCAGGCGCTCCACGCTGCACCAAAAGGCCAGGCCGCGGCGCAGTCGGACGCCACCAGAGGGAGACTCAGCCCATGAGTTACATGAACCCCCACGCTGGGCTCCGGCAGGGGGGTGACGCTGCTACTTGTCCCCCCAGGCTGTCCCCAGCTCTGCTCTCAGGATGAGGAACTTGCTGCTAGTGTCTCTGCTGCTGGCCGTGACCCCTGGCTGGGCTGCGCCCAAGGACAGCGCCAACAGGTATGGGAAAGCAGGTCTGCCACGGCCCTGCCCGGTGGGCGGGATGGAGAAGGGAGCCCGAGTGGGGAGTGGGGCAGGAGCATTGCCTGGGGGAGCGCCCAGCAGGGGGTGCTGTGGGGAGCGGGGCCATAGCACTGGCTGGGGGGGCACTCTGGGGAACCAGACTGGAGCCCTGGCTGGGAGGGGCAAGGCCAGAGCCCTGCCTGCAGGGGGTTGGTGTTGGGCGGGGTAGGGCCAGAGCCCTGCCTGCAGGGGGTTGGTGTTGGGGGAATGGGGCCAAAGGCCTGCTTGCAGGGGAAGTGCTGGGGGGTGGGGCCAGAGCCCTGCCTGCAGGGAGGGGGTGCTGTGGGGAGCCCTGGTGTCTGTACTGCCCCATTGGCTGCTCTAAGTCCCTGTGCCGTGCTGTGGGGCTGGATCCCACCCCTGTGACCCCTGTTTCCCACCCCTGTGACCCCTGTTTCCCCGTTTGTTGCTCCCAGGCCTGAGGGCCCTGCTGCCGAGCCTGTTCCCAACCTTCTGCACCCCGAGCCGGAGGAGCTGCGGTGAGTCCAACTCCCCCAGGGAGGGACCCCGGGCCTGGGGCTGAGCAGCTGGCAGGGAGCCCAGCCTGTGGAGGGACAGGTCTGTGGGGGTGTTCCTGGGGCCCCACCCTCTGGATGTGTCGTTGTGGGGTGGGTGGGGGGCACTGACTGGGGTGGGATCTGCCTGTCTGGAGGGTGCAGGCTTTGCAGGACGCTTTGCTGCAGTGCTGCGCCTGGCTGGGGCCCGGACCGAGCGACCTGGGACGGGGGGCAGGGGAGTGCCGTGCTGGGGACAGGGAGTTGGGCGGGACAGAGAGAATCAGAGAAAGCATAAGCACAGCCAATGGTCCAGGTGGCCCAGGAGCCTGTCTGCCGGTGCCAGGCACTTCCCAGGGAGTGAACAGAACAGGACAACTGTGACCCTGCCCCTGTCATCCAGTCCAGCTTCTGGTCTAGGGACGCCCAGAGCAGAGGGTGTGTCCCTGCCCAGCCTGGCTAATAGCCACTGATGGACCCGTCCTCCCGGAACTGAGCTAGTTCTTTTAGAACCATTCTAGTCTTGGCCTTCACAACATCCTCTGGCAAGGAGTTCCACAGGTTGACTGCGCGTTGTGTGAAGAAATACTTCCTGTTGTTTGTTTAAACCTGCTGCCTAACAATTTCGTTTGGTGACTCCTTGTGTTATGTGAAGGAGTAAATAACACTTCCTTATTTACTGTCTCCACACCAGTCCTGATTTTAAAGACCTTTATCATATCCCCCCTTGGTCGTCTCTTTTCCTAGCTGAAAAGTCCCAGTTTTATTAATCTCTCCTCATATGGAAGCCATTCCAGACCCCTAATAATGTTTGTTGCCCTTTTCTGAACCTTTTCCAATTCCAATAGATCTTTTTTAAGATGTGGGCGTCCCATGGATTTATATAGAGGCAATATGAGATTTTCTGTCTTATTATCGATCCCTTTCCTAATGATGCCGAACATTCTGTTCGCTTTTTTGACTGTCGCGGCACATTGAGTGGATGTTTTCAGAGAACTATCCACAGTGACTCCAAGATCTTTCCTGAGCGGTAACAGCAAATTTAGCCCCATGATTTTATCTGTAGCGTTGGGATTCTGTTTTCCAATGTGCATCATTTTGCATTGATCAACCTTGAATTTCATCTGCCATTTTGTTGCCCAGTCGCCCTGTTGGGTCCCAGGGATGAGTGCAGCAGGGGCAGTGCCCGTGGGAGCAGTTGGGGGGCAGAAGGGACCCCACTTGCCCTGCTGGCTCTAGGCCTGGTGCACTGCCGCCTGAGGCCTGCCCCATAGCAGAGCGGGCAGAGGACCAGCCAGGGATGAGACATGCCCGCGGCCTTGGCAAACCGTTCCTGGGGTTAATTCCCTGAGTCGGGTTTGTCCAGCCTCACCTTGGCCCTTTCTCTGCTCTCCCCTGCCGTTCCTTTCCCCCAGGCCCCCCCTGCCCCCCGCAGCCCTCCGCCCGGCCTCACTCTGCTCCTTCTTCCAGGCTGTTGCAGCGCTACCTGCAGCGCGCCCGGCAGATGGCACGGGATCCTGCTGACATGACGAGGGAGCAGGGTAAGGGTCACGTCAGTGCCAAGCGAGGGGGGGCCGGGCCCCCGGGTAGCTGTGCTCATGCTGGGGGGTGAGGGGGTGCCCAGTGCCCGTTGGCTCTCACACAGCGATGGCAGCTGACACGTTCCGGCCCCATTCCTGGGCAGGGGGTGCCCAGGTGCCATGCAGGCACCCCGCCCCCCGGCACTCCTGCCTAGCTCCCTCTCCGCCTGCCACAGCCGCTCACACCCCCCAGTGCCCGGCCCCTCGTGACTCCCCCTCTCTCGCAGTGCTCCTCTACCTCTTCGCGCTGCACGACTACGACCGGAGCGGGCAGCTGGACGGGCTGGAGTTCATGCAGCTGCTGATGGAGGTGGTGTCCCAGCAGGCCCAGAGCCAGCCTTCTCCTGACGCGGTAGGTGCCACTCAGACCCCCCCCCCGGGGGTTGGGGGACCAGGGGCCAGCTGGGTAGGGGGGTGGGTGCATCTCCCCTGGGCTGAGATCTGCACCTAGCTGGTGACTGGCAGCCTCCCTCTCCCCACAGAGCACGGGCAGCAGCAAGGAGACCCCGGGGGTCCCCCATGGGGGGCAGAGCTCAGGCACCGCATGGTGCAAAGGGCCATTCCCAAGACAGGCTCCTTACCCCATTCCCCACCCCTGAACCAGCCAGTCCCTGCCCTGGGGCCGGTTGGGAGCCAGCACCCCCTACAGGGGACAGGCCCCATGTCCCATTCCCCACCCCTGAACCAGCCAGTCCCTGCCCTGGAGCCGGTTGGGAGCCAGCGCCCCCTACAGGGGACAGGCTCCATGTCCCATTCCCCACCCCTGGCCAGGTGGGAGCCGGCGCCCCCTACAGGGAACAGGCCCCACCCCTGGGCCAGCCAGTTCCCGCCCCGCAGTCTGCTCCCCGCCAGTGCTGTGCGACTGTCCCCTCTCTTCTCTCCTGCCCTGTGCCCATCCCCCCGGCAGGTGATCGTGGCGGTAGATGGGATCCTGGAGACGCAAGACCTGAACGGGGACGGGTTACTGAACCCCTCGGAGCTCCTGCTGCCCCCAGCCCAGGGCCAGCCTCCCCCGCCAGCCCCGACTGACGCCCCCGCCGGAGAAGGGGTTGTGCAGTGGGCACCTGAGGAACCAGAGCTGCCCGGCGCCCAGGGGGCAGCAGGCCCCGGCGTGGAGCTCCCCGAGGCTGAGGGTCTCTTGCGGAGCCGGACGGGGCCAGAGGCGGCTCAGCCTGAAGAGGGGGCTCCAGGGGCCCAGGCTGGGGCCCCCAATGCTGAGATCTAGGCCCCCAGCCTAGACCCATGGAGAGCTCAGGGCACAGCCGGGGCAGATCAGAGCTGGCACGGGGGCTGCAGGTGGGGGGCTGCAGGGCACAGAGAAACCGAGGTGGTGGTGGGGAAACCTCTGCCACGGGACCCCCCCCCCCCCACCCACACACACTCTGGATCTGGCTGAGTGGTGCCGGGGAGGGGGGAGCAGGGGGCTGCCTCCCTCCCCAGCCCTGGGGAGAGCAGCTGGGCTCAGCCCCTGCCGAGCGTGTGAGACGCCCCTGGGGACAAGGGGCTGTGGGGAGGCAGGTACCTGACCCCTCCCTGGGCTGGGGGGCCCAGGAGCCGCCCCGGGTGCTGCGGGCACAGCATCAAAGCAGGGTTACCCTCGCCAGCTCTGACCTGTCCCTGCCAGAACCTGTCTGGCTGGAGCGAGGGGCTGGGGGGGCACCGGGACATGTGCAATCCATCATGTAACTTACATTTTGAAATAGAAAAATATACACTGAGCCCCTGGGCTGCTGGCCCCCTCGCTGGCTGCACTGCGCTGCCCCCCGGAGCCATGGGGGGGGGAGAGGGAAAGGAGTTTGCCTGGCCAGCAGGGCTCACCCAGCCGAGGGTGCCTCCTGCCCATCCTCGAAATCGCCCCCGTGCCCCGCCCTGAGCAGGCAGCAGCTGCGTGGGCCGACAGGTGACCCTGCTCTGGGCACTGGCTGAGTGCCTGTCCCTCAGCCGCCTGGGCCATGCCCTCTCCATCACTACCACCCTGGCAGCAGGGCCTGGCGCAAGCCCTCTGCCTCCAGTGGCCCCGAGCTGGAGGGCGGGAGAAGGGGGGGTGCTTCCATCAGCTGTAGCAGGGGTTTAAGCCCTGCCCCCCTTCAGTGACTGGTGTAGGAGCTTTGCCCTGCCCCTGAGACAGGCACCATAGCCCCCAGTGCACCCCCGAGCCACGGTCCAGCCCCCCCACTAAGGCCTGCTGCCATGAGGTGGGCAGGAGGCCAGGCCCATGCGGCCAGCTCGGACGCTGCCTCACCCCGCGTGAGCCCAGCCAAGGGGCCTTCCAGGGCTCTCCTTGCCCCATGGCCCCAGGCCAGTCCCTCTGCTCAGCCCGTGGCCACCTCCCGCTCCCCTCAGGCCAGACTTCGCCCTGCCTGCCCTGGGGCTGCTGGGCTGGGAGGTGTCATGCTGAGGAGAGCTCCCTGGGAGCCAGGCCCCGGAGCACTTGGACCTACAGCTGGACGCACGGACACGGACACCCCCAGTCAGAGTGGAGGCTGGGGCCTGGGAGCCCATCGCACTGTGGAGCCCACAGGGCAGAGCAGAGGCACCCACCTCCTTTAGACGGCCCCCAGCCCCTCACCCTGCCTGCCAGGGGCTCCAGGAGCCTGTTCTATAGAGAGGCAGCTCTTGGCAGGGTCCCCCTTGCAGCTCCCCCCCAGCTGCGTTTCCTCTAAGGCGGGGAGCCGTGGGGAGCCCCTGCTGCACGGTCTAGGTCAGGGCCACAGGCTCCAGGAGCCCCAGTGCCAAACCCAGGCAGCAGGGGCTGCTGTCCCCAGGAGCGGCTGCGTCCCGGCTCTGGCTGCCTATGCCCTGGGCGGGCGCGTCCCCCACAGCTCACGCACTGCCATGCGTCTGCCTAGCTCAGCAGCACCAAGCCCCCGCCCCAATGCCAGTGCCCCCAATGCCCCATAGCCAGAGCTCGCCTGCCGGCCGGACTGAAAAAAACAAGGGCTGCAGCTGTTCCCAAGCGTTTATTGACTAAGCTGGACGGGGAGGGGACCCGCAGGGCCGGGTACAGTGCCCGGGCAGCAGGCACCGTGGCACCCGGCCGGCAGCACCAACAGCTCAGCCCTTGCGCCCCAGGAAATCCCAGCAAGTCAGCACCAGCTGCAGCCTCCTGGTGCAAAGGGGGCGTCTCCTCCAGCGGGCGGCGCTCTGTTCACACGATGCCGTCGTACCCATGGACCCCGCACTTCCTGCCAGCCACCTGGCACCCAAAGGCCAGCGCCTCCTGCAGCCTCTGCCCTGCCATGGGAGAACAAGCCGCCCGTCAGCCCGAGCCTGCCCCGGCCCCCCAGTGCGCCCCGTGGGGAGGCTCCCGGCCCCCCCAGTGCACCGATTCTCACCTCTCGACAGGGCCAAGAGAACAGCGGCATTGAAGGTGTCTCCAGCGCCCAGCGTGTCCACGATGGTCTCTGGGGGGAAGGCGTCTGAGTGGACGAGCTCCCCGTCAGGCCCCAGCGCGTCAGCCCCTGCCTCGGCCCAGGCGCAGATCACAGTGGCCCTGGGGAGACAGCCCCTCAGCGTGACCCCGCAGCCAGCCTTGAGCACCGTCTGCCCCTTGGGGCCAGCTGCCCCCTGGACTGCTCCCCCACAGGAACTGCTCTGAACCCACCAACCCATTTCACAGCAGCCACCGAGCAGCTGTTACCCTCCAGCGCCAGCTCTGGGCCCTGCCCCCTCCTCTGGGGGGAGCAGCGGGGTCCTGCTCCCCCCGCCTCGGGCAGCGTGGGCCAAGGAGGGCCTGGAGGCTGCCTGCTGCTGCGTCGCTCTGCCCAGGGCAGTGAGTGAGTCCCTGGCCCCCCATGCCAGGTTCATCCTCCCAGTTTGGCCCCACGTGGCCCAGGCCTACCCTGGTCTCACACGGGTGTGAAGCCCCTTCACGGCCTCGGGAGCCGAGTGGAAACCAAAGTCCTTCGCCACGTCCTTGCTGACAAATACCTGCCGGGAAAGGAGTGAGGGGGCAGGGCCAGGTAGCCAGAGCCAATGAACAATGCCACTGTGCTCCCCAGTGCCCCATAGCCAGCTCTGCCCCATGCCAGTGCCCCTCAGCCAGCACCGAGCCCCCACCCCCAATGCCAGGGGGCCCCCCCATGCCCCATAGCCAGCACCGCCCAATGCCAGTGCCCCATAGCCAGCACCCCCAGTGCCCAATAGCCAGCACTGCCCCTCCGCCCCATGCCAGTGCCCCTCAGCCAGCACCGCCCCAATGCCAGTGCCCCATAGAATCACAGAATATCAGGGTTGGAAGGGACCTCAGGAGGTATCTAGTCCAACCCCCTGCTCAAAGCAGGACCAATCCCCAACTAAATCATCCCAGCCAGGGCTTTGTCAAGCCGGGCCTTAAAAATCTCCAAAGAAGGAGACTCCACCACCTCCCTAGGTAACCCATTCCAGTGCTTCACCACCCTCCTAGTGAAATAGTGTTTCCTAATATCCAACCTGGACCTCCCCCACTGCAACTTGAGACCATTGCTCCTTGTTCTGTCATAGCCAGAGCTGAGCCCCTGCCCCAATACCAGTGCCCCCAGTGCCCCCCAGCCAGCCCTGGGCCCCCGCTGCCAATGCCCCCCAATCAACGTGCCCAGGCCACAAGCCCCAGCTCCCTGAGCCATGCAGGAGCTGGCGTCTGATTGGCCAGCTGAGCAGTCCCACTAGCCAATCAGCTCCCCTCCTCACTGGCCTCCCAGACACCTGTCATGTCTCCCACAGGCAGGTGCCCTCCTAGACAGCCCCTCCCAGAGCAGTGAGCTGGTGCCAGCTGCCCAGAGCGCCCCCCACCCAGTGCACGTACCATAGAGAACGAGCCAGCTGCCCAGAGCGCCCCCCAGAGGAAATGCCCTGTCACCTGGGTGTGGGCGGGGCTGGGCCCCCTGCTCTGGTCGTGACACCTCCCCCCATGGGGGCCCCTTCCAGGCAGCAGGGCCCCCCAGCAGGACAGGCTGGGAGAGCCAAGCTCCCTGCCCTCCCCCAGCCGAGACCCCCTGACCCCAGCTGCCCCCAGGGGCAGGGGATGCCAGGACCCGTGGGGACGTGCCCCATTATTTCCTACCACGTCTCCGTAGCCGAAGAGCTGGTACAGCTCCTTTCGGGGCTTCTCCACCTCCACCGACGTAGAGACTCTCTGGTGGGCTGGGCAGGTCCGGTTATACTCCTCCACGCGCTGGATCATTTTCACCTGCTCCGCAGCGTTCCTGCCCTGGAAGCAGGACAAGCTTTCAGCAAGGCCAGGGCAGTATCCCTGACCCCCTGCGCCCACGGGCCTGGGCACAGCACGCCAGCCTGGCCTGGGTGCCACGGCGTGGACTAGCGAAGCAGCGACTCAGTGCAGACCCCAGCCTAAGCCACCCGGCAGCTTGTGCTGCATGGGAAGGTGGGCTGGGCTGGGCCATGTGGACACAGAATGGGAGTGAGCACGAGCAAGGGCTCGTCTACACAGGGCTACCCAGCACCAAGCACTCAATCCAGATAACAGCATCCACACCCGGCCACTCAGGAGCAAGGTCCCGCACGGAGCAGCCTGCGAAGAGGGAAGTGGAGAGCAGAGAGCAGCAAGCCGGCGCATCTGCCTCCCATCCCACCTCCAGGACTCCCAGCCTCGAGCCAGAAGCACAGGGGCCAGTCTCTATTCCAGGTCACTCAGGCCCCCCCGTCACTAAATCCTGCTGCTGCTGCCACCCCCTTGCGACTCCGAGCTGCCTCTTCCTTTCTGTGCCAATGAGCGAGTGTTTGGCCATGCCTTCGTCTCCTGCGGGGCTACCGTAACCGCCCCTCTCTGGCCACCCCAGCCCTAATCCACTCCTCACCAGCCCGCTGCCTGGCCCACTCCTCATCTCAGCTCCTGGCGCCACCATGACATGGCCCCTGGGCTGGGCAGCACTCCCATGTATGTGCCATCCCACTCCTCTGGCCTGCGTCTGCCTTCGCCTCCTCACATTGGGTACTGCCTGGGGTAGGGACCCCCCCCCCACGCTAAGGCAGCATCAGGTCCCTCTGGGGAGCCACTGAACAGTCAATGGCGGAATGGGGGGCCTCGCCGGGCGAGGGGGGACTCACCTCCCAATGGATCCACTTGTACTGGGTGAGGTCGACCTGCTCAAAATCCTGTGCTGTCACATCTGGCAGGTTTCTAACCCACGGGGGGGGGAGAACACAGGGGAGTCAGAGGGCGGGTGCACGGGGCCCCTCCTAGCAGAGAGGTTAGGGCTGAGGGGGACGGGGGGCGACTTTAGCCCCTGCAGTCAGTGAGCCGCTGGGGAATCTGGGCTAGTGGCCCCAGCAGGTGGGGAGTGCAGCTCCCAGGCAGTGGGGCCCAACACATGGCATGGCCTGCAGGCACTCGCACAGACCCCCTGGCCTGCTCAGCGGCACAGGGGGAGCCTGCCCCAGAGGACACCATGGTGCCTGTGCCCTCGGGCACTGCTCCCTCTGCACGCTCGGCTGGCAAGGCCCCTGCCCATACAGGGCTCCTGGTGGGGTACCAAGGCCAAGCAACGGGGCAGAAGGGTGTGACAGTATGGGGCTCTGAGGGGCTGGACTCTGCCCGGCTGGGCTCACACCCAGCCAGGTAACCAGGCACCCATTCAATGATTAACCACAGCCTCTGGCAGAGGGGACGAAGGCAGGAGACCCTGGCCTGATCTCAAAGGGCATCAGCCAGACTTTGATCCCAGAGATCCCAGGGACGCGGACGCCCTTCAACGAGGGGAACAGAGCTCAGTGACACCGAGCCCCTGTGAATCACTAACCCCCTCCCCCACTTCTCCAGCTGCTGGATCCCAGCTCGACCCTCCTGCCAGCAAAGGGTTAACAGGGTCCCAGGCAAAGTCCTGCCGCCTGGTCCCAGCAGGGCAGGAGAGACGGCCCCATACGGGAGCTGTGTTAACTGGGGGGGCCAGGATCTCCTCTGCTCCCCTCCTGTGCTGATGCCTTGTCCCATGTGTTCTAATGCACTGGGCCGGGCTGAGCCGAGCGGCCCCACAAAGACGGGGCTCACCCCGAGGGGCAGGCAGCAAGGGGCACCCCAGACCACCCACCAGGAAATGGAGGGACGGGGCTGGTGTGGGCCGGACGAGTTCCCAAGGGAGCATCCCTTCCCACTGGCAGAAGGGACCCAGTGAAAGGCCCTGACAGCCCTGCAAGCGCAGGGAGGTCACTGCTACAGCGGCCAGCCCAAGGCCCAAGGTCCCCTCTGAACGCCTACCACCTGCAAAGAGTCACAGGGCAACCCCCCATAAGCCCTGGGGAGGCAGCGGGGGTCACACATGCAGATTCCCCTCCCGCCCCCCCGAAGACAAGATTGAGATGTGCCGATTATGGCGGTGAAATTACCGGGTGCTGCAGGATTAGCATTGGCGCAGCTGATTGGCGTCTGCGTGCAGAATCAGTGAATGAATCAGTCAATCAGCCATGCGGGATGGGTCCCCTCTGACGGGGCAGCGCCGAGGCGAGACCTGAGGGCACGGGCCCCCGAGCCCCCGTCCGTGACAGGCAGGGCCCAAGGGCCCGGCACTGGGGTTCCTCCTGCGGGAGCCGCCTGCCTGCCAGGGGGGACTGGCGCGACGGCTCGGCAGATGTGCCCGGCCTTACGTGTCATAGAGTGTGACCGTCCGTGAGCCGTTGGTGCTGTTGACAAGGCAGCAGGCGCATGGCGTGTCCCCCCGGCTCTGCCACGCCACATGCGCTACATCCACACCCCTGCGTCGGAGGTCCGCCACGATGAAACTTAGCAGGGGAGGGGAGAGAACAGGGGGAGGGAGAGAGGGGTTAGATCCTGGCGGGCACAGCGGGCGCCGGGCACAGCCCCTACGCACCTGTTTGTGTGCAGGATGGTGCGGGTGCCCCTGCTCGCATTGCTGATGACGATGGAGGTGGGGAAGGAGCTCTCGGGGTGCGGGACCAGGTGGGTGAGCTCCACTGCATAGCGCCGCAGGTCGGCCAGGACGAAGCTGCCAGGGAGGGGGGCGCAGAGAGGGTTAAGCGCGGGATGGGAGAGCCGCTGCCCTGCAGTGTCTGGGCGCCGGAGGGGAGACAGCAGGTCTGGGGGCCCAGTCAGTCCCCAGCAGCCCCGACACTCCCCAGCAAACCTGCCCCACTGCACCGGGAGCCCCACGGACCACGATCGGCCAGCGCAGCACCCAGGCTACAACCGGGAGCAGGGGTGAAAGGCTCTCCAGAGACCCCCCCAGCAGGGAGATGGGGCCAGCGAGGGGAGGGGTTCCCCAGGAAGGGCTGGGGCCTCGGTCACTCCCCAGCAGGGAGATGGGGCTGGGGGGTGGAGGGGTGTCTCCCTACGGGACCTGTGGCTGTGGATATACCCACTCTCCTGGGTGATGCTTTGGAGAACAGGAGGGATTGCTCAGTGGTTTGAGCATTGGCCTGCTAAACCCAGAGTTGTGAGTTCAATCCTTGAGGGGGCCACTTGGGGATCTGGGGCAAAATCAGTACTTGGTCCTGCTAGTGAAGGCAGGGGGCTGGACTCAATGACCTTTCAAGGTCCATTCCAGCTCTAGGAGATGGGATATCTCCATTAATTATTATATTATAGGATCTTGTGTCCCCTAGTCCCAGAGGAAGAGGCTGGATGGGACCCAGGGGAACCCTCTCATCTTGTTTCCATGGCGATGTAATTCACAGGGACCACCGGGGGAGCATGGACCAGATGTGGATTTTAGAAAAGCAGCAGCACACGCTAACCCCCTGCCGACGCTGCAGCAGATCCCCTGCACCCGGCTCCCGGCCCCCCTTGCCAGCCGGAAACGCAGACCCCGAGCGAGGGCAGTGCGGCCAAGGAGCCGGACAGCCCAGCCCGTGGGAAAAGGCCGGACGGAGCCCAGCTGGGGGGTGCCAGAGCAGGCCGGATAGGAACCCAGGGGTCACGAGTCTTTAGAGGACACAAAACAGGGTAAAGGAAGACCCAGGTCTGATTTGCCCCCTCCCCTAGCACAAGGAGGCAGCCAGAACCCCCGTGGTCAGCAGAGGCGTCACGTCTCCCCTTCCCGGAAAGGGACGGTCCTGCCTGCGGGCTCCCCGCCCCCAACTTGCTGGGCCCGGTCACCTGGAAGGAAGGATTCTCTCTCAGTCCAGCGTGCTGGGGGCCAGGGCACCTGCCAAGGTGCATAATGGTCCCCTGAGCTGTGCCCATGGCAGGATACCCGTGGTGCTGGCTTGAGCACTCAGGCTCCCACCTCACTGCGGGCACGCTGACCCGCAGACCCCCCCGCACCAGGTCCATCGCTTACTCTGCTGCGTGTCCGGGCGCCAACGAGCCCATGAAGGCGCAGGGCGCCCCCAGCAGGGACAACACGGTGCAGGAGTTTGAGGCATTGCCACCCCGCTGCCAGCGCTGAGACAGGCACCTAGAAGACAGACAGCCATGGCAGGGCGTGGCCGGGCACCAGGCTCCCAGCCCTGCACTGGCCCCAGTCACTCCTGCTTGACGGGATCCACATGCTGGCACAGGGCCGTTAGCTGGGCGTGGGATCGCAGAGCCAGCCGGGGGTTCCCTGCTGGCTGACAGGCGTGGGGTGGGGTGGGGCAGAGGAAGCTCATGCCACCCCCAGGCCCGCCTGCCAGGGCAGACAGTTTAATCGGAGGACTGTTCATGCAGGGAGCTCTTGGGGCTGGGTTCCCAGGGCAGCACCGCGGCCAGTGCTCTGGGCTGGCACTGCACGGGGGAGCGGGTCGGAGGCACCCAGGGGCCTGAGGGGTCTGCGCTGCTCTGCCCGGGAAGTCGGGCTGCAAGCAAAGACATTTCTAGACGGTCGAGAGGGCGCCCGGATTCCCTGCTGGCCCCGCCAGGTCCTGCTCCTGCCAGCTGGGTACTCTCCAGCCACCCGAACACCGGGTGGATTTTCCTGGCCCAGAGAGGGCCTGGGGCTAGTGTCTGAGCATGGGCCTGGAAGGCAGCCTCCCCCCCCCGATCTTACCCTGGCTCTGACACCGATGTCCAGTGCCAGGCTCCTGGGGGGGTGGGGGGGAGGGGAGAACAACCCAGACGGTCTGAGCTGGAGCTGGTGTGACGGGGCTGCCTGCCGCTGAGGGCCTGGCCAAGATGCTCGGGAAGTCCCTTCCCTCCAGCCCCACGTCCCTAAGTCCCAGCCCCCCTGCGCCTCACCCCTCCCAGCTGGAAAACCGAGCTGGGGAGGCTCAGAACCACACCAGGGGAAGGACCCCGGGAACGTTATCTGTGACTGGCAAAGGCAACCCCCCCTGCCCACTCGTGGGACTGGCGCAGGGCTCCCAGAGCCTGCAGCCCAGGGGCTGGAACGGCCAACCCTCCCAGCCCACTCAGCCCCTCTGTGCCCCCAATCCAGCCTCCCCACGGTGCTGCAGTCCCCAGGGAGCCGAGCCCCCCGTACCTGGTGTCCGTGTCCTCGAGCGGGTACGCGTCCACCACGCTGATTATGTCCAGGCAAACCAGGCCAATGCACAGAATGCGCTTTTCCTCCATGGATGGGCTGCCCTGCCGGCACCAGCTCCCCGGGCACCTACCCCCTGCACCCGCTCCCTCCGCACCTGCCCCCTGCCCCTCCCTCTGGCACCAGCTCCCCGGGCACCTGCCCCCTGCCCCTCCCTCTGGCACCAGCGCCCCGGGCACCTGCCC